CCTCTCACCGCGCACCTCCTCCCCGGAACCACCGCGCCGGCCCGCCCCGCGCCGCCGCCCGATCCGCGACAGCCAGCCCCGCCGCCCGGAGCAAGGAGGGCCATCCTTCCAGGTGAGAGATCGACTCTCCCCCGCCCCCGTCCCCGCCCCGTCCAAATCCGCGCGCAATGCTCGCCCAATTCCGCCCCCTCGCGCGCGCGGTTCCGCGGGGTCCTGCTCGTCGTCGTAGCCGCGAATGCTCGTGCGACGGGAAGGAGTTCCCGGAGCGCCCGTGCTCGCCGGGCGAGCTCGCGCGCGCGCGTACGGGCGGGCCTCGCCGGGAATTGAGCGCCGCCGTGGTTCCGCTCGGATTTTTCAGGAGAGGGTCCCGTGCGTACGTAGGAGTAGTCGAATTCCCTTTGGGCATTCGAGGCCGGCGCCGGAATTGGTAATAATACTAATACTACTAGTAGTACTAGTTATTAGCATTTTAGTTTAGTAGTAGAGGTATACACCGACAGGGGCCGGCCGTTCGAGATTGGTTGGGGAATTAACCTGCTGTGTGCTGTGTTGGTCTACGCTGCAGACCGACAGTGATGTCGCTGGTTCTCTGGGTTGTTGCGTGTGCGCTTGAAACTGGGGGTGGAACTGATCGATCTGTCGATCGATCTGGTGTCGCTGTTTGGGGCTTGGATCATGCTTGATGCGTTTGTGTCTGGGCTTGGAACCCGCTGTGTTTGGGGTACTGTTTCGCCCGGCACCTCTGGCTTCCAGACAGAGGAAACTCTTTCTACCTCTGTGTGAAACGTATTCCACCATACGGAAGACTGTACATCATATAGGAGTATGAGATTAAGTTACACGAACAGTCTATTTTCTTTTCGGGAAGAAAAGAAACAGTCTGGTTGGTTGCTTCTGGCTCTGCTGCGGCCCGAAATAATTTGCCAGTGATGTGCCACTATGTGTCAAACCTCACTTTTGATGAAAACTGCATACCGCAAGGGAGATTCCCTACAGGTTTATTGTCCGCGGTGCTACGGAATCTCTCACCTACGCTATGCCTGCCGGGACCCATTAGAAACTGGCACATGTGGAAGCTTACTTCACCTGTACTTTTAGTTCAGTAAATTAGTAGTACTATATGGCATGTCGTTACAGTCTTGAATTCTACATGGCAGACAGGCAGGCGTTCAGTAAAGGCATGGCGCATGACGAAGCTGTGGCTGCCCAGAAGACTGGGAAATCAGGCTCACCTCCTAAGGTAAGAATCGCTGATTTACAAGTATCCGCTGACTACTAAGATGCTGCTTTCAAAGAGAGGAAAACTCTGATTTAAGAGAACTTGCTGACTGCTGAGAAATTGTCCGACCTTCTATGGCATGGTCTTTCTGGAAATTAGCTGTATGATTTGTTATAAGCAATTCATTGCCAAAACAAATATCTATGTATACAATTTTAAAAATCCGTAAATGCAGCAAAGAACACCACTGGTATTACTGGCCTTCAGAAATTAATATGCAGTGTCGTTGCCTTGTTGGTCTGTCAATACAACTCACACAAATGGCTTATGGATCACCATCATTTGCAGGATCAACCAGCTCCCAGTCCATATCCTGATTGGTCGGCCGTGCAGGTTGAGTGTTTTGCCGTTCTCTTACTGTCCCCACTTCCCAAAGACTCTATAACACAGTAATTTAAGCACTAACATCAAACCTTTACAGGCATACTACAGTTCTGGTGTCATGCCACCGGCATATTTTGCCCCAGCCATAGCTGCGGGTCATCCACCTCCACCGTATATGTGGGGTCCTCAGGTATTTGGTTTTTTATCTCTCTGTACAGTGGTGTTTCTTCATGCACTGTATTGAATCCAAGCTCCTTCTGATGGATAAGTTTGTGTACTAGGGTCCTTGTGGGGCTGCAGCACATGGTCCTTGTGGCAGTTAGGAGGATAAAGTCCTGGACCATAAAGGACTGGCTGTTAGGATAGAGTTCTGTTCTTGACCATCAAGGACTGTCAGTTAGCATCTTAGACTAGCATCTTAGACTGGCATCTTAGCAGCATCTTAGCATATGCCTTGGCTGGCTAGCAGCCTATAAATATGTATCCCCAACCCCTCAGGTTGGCATGGCATTGTGTGAGAAATAAACCAACGAAAATTGTCCCAACTCTCCTAGTGTCATCCACAACTATCAATGCTCAGGCTGAAAAGTCTAACACCTTCTCCTCATCTCTGCAGCATATGATGCCACCCCCTTTTGGAACGCCATATGCAATGTACCCACATGGTGGAGCTTACCCGCACCCGCTTGTGCCCATGGTAAACATCAGATTGCCCTGTGCTTCTTTGCACTTTGCTTAAATAAAACTCAATGTTTGAAGCTTCAGACATTTATGCACTTTTTCGTGAAAAAGAAGACAAAATATATGTTGTTATCACCATCTGTAGTAGTAGTATTGTGGTTTGAAGGACACAAGGATAGTAGAGTTCCATTATGTTGACTATGAGCCTCAATTAAAATATGTTCCAGCACACTGCAATTTTGGAACAACCTAGCATAGAACATCTGCATTAGGAAAGATGTTACTACACTGCAATTTCGGAACAATCAAATGTTAAATGGGTCATTTTGATGTTACTCAGATACTATTATGTTCCTTTTGGTGTGCTGTAAGTCACCACCGGCTGCATAGAATATCTTTGTTAGGAAAGATATATATGGTGTAGCTTGCTTATCAGAAGAAAAGATCCATAGTGTGAATCTGTATTCTATAACTTTTATGCAATATCAGATTCATACTCATTTGTAATGATCTGTCGTGCCCTTTGACCACACTCATTTCCATAGTTATATTTTACTTCCAGCATCTGAACCTGTTATGTTGATATATTCCTTGAACACAACTTCTAAGTTTCTAGTTCGGATTATTTCTGTTCATCTGATTTTTGTCTTGATGCTTTCAAGATGGCAAGTCCATTGAGCGTGGAGCCAGCCAAATCTGCAAACAGTAAGGATAAAAGTTCCAATAAGAAACTTAAGGAAATTGATGGGTCTGCAGTATCTACCGGCAGTGGTAACAGTAAAAAAACATCATCCAGGTATTTACATGCTTTTCTTCTGCTCCTGGAATCAAGTATTCCTGTCCTCTTCTGGTAAACTGACGCTATGCTCTTCTGATGGTCAATTCAGTGGGGATTATAGTGGAGAGGGCTCCAGTGATGTTAATGATCTGAAGGTACCAATTTGGATGTGTGGTTGTACATGTATTATGTTTAGTGTCTGGACAATCCTGATTTAGGCTAAAACTTTACATGTTCAGGTGAGCGGGACTCCTAGGAAACGGAGCTTGGATGGTGGATTTGGTATTTCACTTTTCTAACGACTTGTTTAATTTTCAGAGGTTCTAGTATTAGTACCTACTTTGATTAGTCATTCTGCTGCATTAGCCATCTTGCACTGTAACACTTCTCTTATGCTTTTCTTTGGTAGGCAAACTTGCATCTTTTTTCCTTTGCTTGGAAAATAGATACACTTGCTTCTTTGAGTCGCTTCATAGCTGTAACCAAGTCACTCTCCTAAGTTTCACTGTTGGCAAGAAAGTGGCTAATACCTTAAACCTTTCTCCAGACGCAGAAGCAATCGCGGCAGCAAGGAATAAAGATGTTGTAGCTTCTAGTCCGATAATTCGAAATGGCGCAATTTTGTCAAATCAATGCTTTCCAGCTCCAGTCATTAAACCCAGTGTTACCAATGTTGCTAATTCAAGGGCAATAGGCACACCGGTGTCTCCATTGCCAGGTTTTACGGGTCCAATTCATACCGGAATATCAACTGAATTATCATCTAAGGTACATTCCATCTATTGTTTGTTTAGATCCGATAGAAAATCTGGATTATGACTGTTTTTTTTTTCATGCAACAACCCAATTCCTAGCGTTTTTTTGTTAGGTTATTATTATTGTTACGCCAACAGTATGTGCTAGACCATTTCTGTTTCAGGGATTGAATTTTTCTCTTTTTTTTGGAATTTCTCCATGCCAGGATGAGAGGGAAGTAAAGCGTGAAAAGAGAAAGCAATCAAATAGGGAATCTGCTAGACGGTCGAGGCTGAGAAAGCAGGTATATTGTGTTGGCCTTGTTTTCCTATTAACTCATAGGGCTCTCTTGTATGTACTCTTTGATGAATGTGTTGCAATGTAGCAATATCCAATCCTCGAAAAGGAAAAGCAGTATCTGGAAACATGGACATGAAGCCGAATTGAATTTTCTCCCAAACTATTATTTGCATCTTAGTACAGTGATACTGGGACGCAGTACGCCAATTGATATTTGTGTCCTCTTGCTGTAGGCTGAGACAGAGGAGTTGGCCACACAAGTAGAATCGCTTACAGCTGAGAACACGTCTCTAAAATCTGAAATCGGCAAGCTAACGAAAAGCTCCGAGAAGCTCAGAATAGAGAATTCCGCTCTAGTGGTATGGAACCTTCTTTCCATTGATAACTGGTCTATCTTTACCATGTTCCATAGTTTGTTCTGGCCGGTGTTTGAATCTACCCTTGTCTAACGGAACAAACACATCGCATCCCAGGTGAAACTTAAGGGCACCGCAGCACCGACCAACGCAGAAATGCCCCTGGACAAATCAGCGGCAGCTGCTGCAGCATCCTCCTCCCCTCGCATCGTGGAGAATTTCTTGTCGATGATCGACGACACAAGCAAGTCAGGTGTAAACAACCACATGGAGCACAGCGAGCCCAAGCTTCGCCAGCTCCTCGGCTCCAGCGCGACAACGGATGTTGTGGCTGCAAACTGATTGATTGATCAGCCTCTCGCTGGCGCAGACTAATACACCTTGCATGCGGCCTGGGGTTTCAGCAAGCTCATGCTGCTCACATAACACATCGGCGTGACAGTGTAGGTATTTTTATTTGGTGAGTATATTCAGGAACTCCGGCGGTCATATCTACTCCGTATTCCGGTTCCTGACGGCTACTGCACTTTAGGCACTGATGCTGAAGTCTCGGTGTGTCCCATGTTTTCACTGTAATTTTAATTAGCAGTGTTGTAATATAGGGGTGTTGCGCTTCATGCCAACCTTTCTAAAAACCTTTTGGGATCTCTGAACGTGTGGTGCCATACAAACTCAAACTGTGAAGACAGTATACGCAAGAGGTTGTGGGAACATATACCGAAATTAAGTGCTTTACTTGGACCCATAAGTGTTGTTGCAATTTGTGCACTTCGTCTATGATATTACTGATCATGATGGAGCTATGCTGGTCAATATGGGGGAAGACCGCTGCATTCCCGGCACCCCAAATCTTTCGGAGGGCAAGGCGCCACACTTCGTGATGCTCGCATCGGAGTCGATGATATGGCTTGTGAGTTTTTTTTTCTTTTTGCGGGAAAAACTTTCAATCTATTCATCTTCAATCAGGTTGAGCCAACTGTTGTAGCCAGTTGTGGAACAGAAACCGGCGAAGACCGACCTTGTTGGGAACCTTTGAGTCCCGAATATTATCAACGCGATGGTCCTTGTAGTCCTTACACATCAACAACACTTGGGGGGCGATCTTACGCCTCGGTTAAGGAGATCATAATAACCCCATTGAATCAAGAATCCAGCAACAAAGACGACATGGGCTGCAAGTCTGCAACTCCAATCACGCAGCATGGGATGGGCGATTACATATGTTAGAAATTACACCGTTTCCCACCAGGAGACTAGTATGGTAGGTTTAATGGAGTGTGAGGATAGGTTGTCTTTTTTTTACAGGAACTAGCAAAACGGCCCGTGCATTGTAAGGGAAGAAAAAATATTATAATCTCCAATGGCCATGATCACATTTTGTTGCATCCCTGAGATACACTATCACTCTCGACTTCGTGAAATCGTGAACAATTTTTGAAAATCATGAAATTTTTTAAACTCGTGAACATATCTGAAGTTATGAACATTTTTCAAATTCTTGAACATTTCTACAGATTTTGAACATTTTCTAAATTCATGAACATTTTATACTGTTTGCGAAAAAAAATGTTTAAAAAATTTAAAACATTTTACTTGAATAGGAGAACATTTGTAGAATCAACAAACATTTATTTAGAAATTGGTGGATTTTTTTTTAAAATTCACGAACATTTTTTTATGTAACAAACATTTTTTTAAATGCATGATAATTTTTTGAATCAGGGAATTTTTTCTGAATCAATAAACTATTTTGTAAGTCACAAACAGTTTTTGAATTTTTACGATATTATTGAATTCATGAACATTTTTTGTATTGGCGAAATTTTGTTCAATTTCATTTAGAAAAATAATACACAAACATTTAGAAATATCATGAACATTTTTTGATTTCCCGGACATTTGTTTTCAAAGTTGTGGACATTTTTTGGTATGAAATATTTTTTGGAAAATAGCGAACATTTTCTGAATCCACAAACGTTTGTGAATTATTAAATATTTTATTGCAAAATTCGGATTTTTTAAAAAAATTTTGAAGTCCCCAATTATTTAAATTGGAAAAAAACAAAGACTGAAAAGGAAAACAAAATTTAAAAAATAGGCCGCCCGAACATGGGCCGGCCCAAACAGGCGTGCTGTGTCTTCTCCCAGCATGCAGAGCGCAGTATAGAAGGTTCCTACTACATGGGCCGGACCGTCCCCTTTATTAATATTAGGCACAAATATAAGATATTATTCTTAGATAATTGACATATCATTTACAAATAGTTGAGAAATAAAGACATGAATCAAGCTTTCCAAAAAATCAGAGGATCTATTGGTATTTGAGAAATCACACAATTTGGTGTTCTCTTGAATCATAATGACTACGCAACAAGATTGCACTAAAAAACACATCTGACGAGAAAACAAGGAACGAAAAAGAGGGCGAATAAAACGTCAAATTTTTATGAAGTGAGGGAGAGGGAAACGAGAGGCAAATGGTGAATAATGTAAATTGTAAGGAGATGAGATTTGTGATTAGGAACCTGGTTGATGTTGATGATGTCTCCCCGGCAACGGCGCCAGAAATTCCTTTTGATATTTGCTTGAACTACATCGGTATTTTCCAAAAGAGAAAGGGATGATGCAGCACAACAACGGTAGGTATTTCCCTCAGTGATGAGACCAAGGTTATCGAACCAGTAGGAGAATCATGCAACACAACTTAAACAATTCATGCACACAAATAACAAATACTTGCAACCCGACGTGTTAAAGGGGTTGTCAATCTCTTTCGGGTAAAGGCGCCAGAAGGCACGGAGACGGGAGAAAGTTGTAATAGATTGGATAAATATATCGCAAATAAAATAAAGTGCAGCAAAGTATTTTTGTATTTTTGGTTTAATAGATTCGAAAATAAAAACAAATAAAATAGATCGCGAAGACAAGTATAATAAAGGAGAGACCCGGGGGCCGTAGGTTTACTAGTGGTTTCTCTCGAGAAAAATAGCAAACGATGGAAAAACAATTACTGTTGGGCAATTAATAGAACTTCAAATAATCATGACGATATCCAGACAATGATCATTATATAGGCATTACGTCCAAGATTAGTAGATCGACTTCTGCCTGCATCTACTACTATTACTCCACACATCGACCGCTATCCGGCATGCATCTAGTGTATTAAGTTCATGGAAAATGGAGTAATGCAATAAGAACCATGACATGATGTAGACAAGATCTATTTATGTATAAATAGACCCCATCTTGTTATCCTTAATAACAACGATACATACGTGTCATTTCCCCTTTGTCACTGGGATCAAGCACCGTAAGATCGAACCCATCACAAAGCACCTCTTCTCATTGCAAGATAAATAGATCAAGTTGGCCAAACAAAACCCAAATATCGGAGAAGAAATACAAGGCTATAAGCAATCATGCATATAAGAGATCAAGACCCAAATAACTTTCATGGATAAAAACATATATCTGATCATAAAATCAAAGTTCATCAGATCCCAACAAACACACCGCAAAAAGACTTAGATCATATGGATCTCCAAGAGACCATTGTATTGAGAATCAAGAGAGAGAGAGGAAGCCATCTAGCAACTAACTACGGACACGTAGGTCTACAAGAACTACTCACGCATCATCGGAGAGGCACCAATGGACATGATGAAACCCTCCGTGATGGTGTCTAGATTGGATCTGGTGTTTCTGGAACTTGTGGAGGCTGTAATTGATTTTCGTCGACTCCCCTAAGGTTTCTAAAATATTGGGGTATTTATAGAGCAAAGAGGCGGTGCGGGAGGCCACCGAGGTGGGCATAACCCACCTGGGCGCGCCTGGCCCCTAGGAGTCCCGCTAGTACTTCTTTGGCCCAACTTGTGTCTTTTGGTCCAGGAAAAATCCATAAAAACTTTCGCTGTGTTTGGACTCCGTTTGGTATTGATTTCCTGCGATGTAAAAAACAAGCAGAAAACAACAATTAGCACTGGGCACTATGTCAATAGGTTAGTACCAAAAAAGATATAAAATGATTGTAAAATATCCAAGAATGGTAATATAACAGCATGGAACAATAAAAAATTATAGATACGTTGGAGACGTGTCAGCATCCTCAAGCTTAATTCCTGCTCGTCCTCGAGTAGGTAAATGATAAAAACAGAATTTTTGATGTGAACCGCTGGCTAACATGTTCATCACAATATTATTTTCTTTGTAGCATGGATATTTGGACTTTTATATGGTTCAAAGAAATAGTCTAGTTTTTACATTAAGACTTTAATACTCAAGCATATCAACAAGCAACCGTGTCTTTTAAAATATCAACGCTAAAGCAAGTTATCTCTAGCCCATTATGCTCAGTCATTGATCCATTCATGAAACACACTTGAATACTAGCTATACCCAATGCTCAAATACGATCATAGTGCCCATTAGTTGGTGCTTTATAAGATAAGATGGAGACTCAAATTAAAAAAAATGCATAAAGTAAAAGAAAGGCCCTTCACAGAGGGAAGTAGGGATTTGTAGAGGTGCCAGAGCTCAAAGCGAAAATTGAGAGATAAAAACATTTTGGGAGGCATACTTTTCCCACCAACGAAAACGACTTAGAGTTCCCAACACTTTTCATGCTAGATACATCATAGGCGGTTCCCAAACATAAAATCAAGTTTATTCCTTTTCCACCATACTTTCAGTTTCCATGGCTAACCGTATCCATGGGTGCCCTCCATACCAACACTTTCCGAGGAATTTATTATTGGGCAACAAAAAGTAAATTCATTTCTCATTTAGGGACAGGACATCCCTAATACCTTTTCCGTACTCTCGTGCAATGACAAGTGAATAAACACTCATCGTGAGAATAACACATCTAGCATGGAAAACATCGGCCACCCCTCACCACCTCGCGAGCGGTACGAGCATACAAAACAGAAATTTATTTTGAAGATTAGAGATGGCATATACAAATTTGCTTAGAACGACGCGAAAATACCGCATATAGGTAGGTAAGTGGACTCATATAGCAGAACTGGTTAAAAGGGTTTTGGATGCACAAGTAGTGATCATACTTAGTGCAAAATGAAGGCTAGAAAAAAGATTGAGAAGCGTCCAACCAAGAAACAAAAAATATCGTACATGAGCATCAAGCATAAGTAACACCGAATAATGCACCACAAGTAGGATATAATTTCATTGTATAACTATTGACTTTCGTGCTTGCATAGGGAATCACAAACCTTAACACCAATATTCTTACTAAAGCATAATTACTCATCAACATGACTCACATATCATATCGTCATATCTCAAAATCATTACTAAGAATCAAGTTTATTTTGTCCAAT